TCTGTACCATCCTTGGGAGAGGGGAAGTATCATACGTTGGGCAAATTTGGGGCTTGTTGCAGGTCAGTGTACTTTCTCTGCTCACAATGGAGAAAGGCTTCTTGCATCTCACCAAAAATACATTCAATTTCTAGCAAAAAAACAAGCAAACAAAAAAGCCCTGTGAGACAATGGAGCAGTGGCAGCTTGAAAATCTCTACCTTGGAGGAAAGATCAAAGGGAAGATCAGAATAATTGAAGCCTGTTACAGGAGTGGCGGCCTGAAGGCTGCTGCACCATTAATTCTGTCTGGGTCAATAATGTCAGAAAGTTTGATCTAAAGGAAGAAAAATGGAAAGGAAGTTTATTTTAAAGATGAACAGGACAGAGAGTGCACGATACTGGCAAGCAGAGGTGTTGAAAAAAGCCAGAAGGGCACCAACCTCGTAGTTTTGGAGGCTTGTAAAAGTCAGCTTTCCCCACCCCTGTATCTCTTTGTGTCTTGCTGTAGGTATTGCTACATCTCACAAGAAGACTGTATTCAAGATCTTGTTCTCTGGGTTACCTCATAGGAATAGTTACACCAGTTGACTTTCACTGAAAAGGGCTGCTTGCGTTGACTAAAATGCTGACAAAATTGCCATGCTCTGTGGCACATGTCAGAACAAACTGCTGATTATAAAGCCAAGCTGCGTCAGACTGCCTTATTAGTTATTAAATTTCTTTGGAATAAGTTGTGTCTTGTTTCTCTCATTTTCAATTGGGCTATCTCTATTTGAGAGGCTATACTGAATGAACGGTGGGTGAATGAATGGCAGGTGGGTGGATGGATGGATGGATGGATGGATGGGAAGGTGGATTTTGCCTTGGCAATGTCCTAACAGAACCCATATTCAGCCAGAAGGTTCTTCCACACTGTTGGGAATAATTGGGACCTGCCACAAAATGCTTCAGTGCAGAGTGCACCTATTTAGGGTCTCAGCCAGGTATTCATGTCCTCTTCCAGGACACTCTATTCTAGACCTCTCTTTGTCAGCATTCCATGCCAACTGAGGATATGCAGCCCTCAACAGGCTATTGAGGACTGGTTTTCCACCTTTTCCCTGTATTTTGTACTTCTTCAAAGCTTGGGGCTTTCATATAACCACCCTCTTATGTATGGAAGGATCTTTATGCCTCCACAATAAAGTTCCACATTTGGAGAATTAATTTGCTCTAGCAAGGGTGGTGAGCAACTTTGGGCAATCCCAGGCCCAATTTTGCTACCCTCAAACTTGTCCGTGGGCTGTATTTTCTCTGCCATGACAACAACGGTGATGACAACAAGAAGTGTGGGGAAGGTGGGTTTGCTGCCAAAATTCTTTGAAAAACTACTATAAAGGCTTACTAAAGCCAGATTTAGTAGATGGGAGCTGGTTGGGGAGCGAACCTACAGGCAGCTGGTGGGAACCACATATTTCCCAGTCTTGGCCTGTAGGATTCTCTTTTCCCTGGTCTCCTGATCCCATAGGGAAAATTATACATGATTAGGTTTCATGCAAAGATAAAACTGAGTAGGGAACCCTCATCTCATTTCTGGGTAACAGCAGGTCAGTGGAAGACTGTTTTTAAGACTGGGTTTGATTTTCTGTGTCATGTAGTTAACATCCGTGGTTTGGATTCAAGTAAACTTGCTTGAATTGATAATGTATCTTCTTCCTTAAATGCCAGCATTTGTCTAATTTTGCAGAAAGCAAGAGCCTGAAGCATGGATGCTTGTCAAAGGAAGGAAATTGAACACTGTTTCTACCTTATAGGGTTGTATTCCATGTTAGTCTTACTTAGAGTGTTGCTACTGAAATGAATGGTGCTAAATAATGTTGAATAAACCTGACAAATAACTTTCCGCTGATGCAAAGAAGCCTTAACTTTCTACCGATGACAGCATTAAAACCAAATATTTAAACCGGTTCCTAGATCAAAAAACTGATCAGGTGCAGCTGTGGACTCTTGAGAGGAAGGGGTGCCAACACACTCATGAAGAGTTCCTAGATTTATGGAACTGAAGACATGTTCTGACACCAAAGACATGGCAGCTGGGTGTAAGGGAAGACAAGGTCCCTGTACATTTAACACTTGGACAGAAAAGGAAATTTGGCAGGTGCAACTTTTGGAATAAAACTTTGTGCCTGCCAAAATTCTAATGACCATTCAATGTATTATTAAAGGCACAGAAACCCATTTTTATTTGCATTTGGCCAGTGTTGAACAATCTACATTGTATTGTGGCATTATTAAGTGCTACACACTACAGCACCTTTTCTAAGGAGCACAGCAGTTTACAAGTACTGGAAACAAAATTATAAACTTTGATCAGTCACTGAAATATTCCTCTTCCTCAAGGCTTGATTTTTACTCATATTCTTCCTAGTTCTGTGTTTTTCAGATTATTTTAGTGAAATTGTTTTAGAGTAAGCTCTTTCACCTTGCAGAACGTTTTGAAAAAATGAGAAAGCTGGTAATCTTTCTTGTAAGAGAGCAATGGGGGAAGGGTGGTGTTGGTACACTGCATACTTTCCTTTAGTGTGCTATCCGGATATTCCTCTCTCGATTGTTCCAGAGGCACGTACAAACTCAGCTTTGTGTGATTAGCCATTTTAAATCCCTCCCTTTGTCTCCTCTTCGGCAAGAACAGAAGTGCTAAACTGAGTCACTTTCTTGCCTGGTGCATGGAGACAAAGCAATTGACAGCTATGTAGTTATGTTTCATCATGATTCAGCAAAAAGAGTGAGACAAAACTGGCAAACTTCCAAAATGATCCAATGGAATGAAACGACAACAACTTAGGATCTGGAAAAGTATGTGCAGTTTTATTCTAAGAGGTAGCCCTATTCATTTCAGTGGGTCACAGGAATAAATTTCAAACATTGCTGCAGACATTTATAGATTAAAACTGACCCACAGTGAAGGCTAATATTAAGAGCTCACACACATAACTGGAATAAGATCATATAATTCAGCTTTCTGAGAATCTGCTTGTGTATTTCCTTTCCGTGAGAAGAATATCCGCCACTTTTCTGAGAGCAACTGGGCTTGCAAAATAATTCCCTGAACAAAACTTGTCCCTTCATACATGATTCATTAAACTGCAGAAAAAACAATGTCACCTTCCCTTTTGGTAAAATATTTATTGTATTCAATATATATTTTTTTCTTCTAGAACAATGTAGACATCCACAATCTGGGCTGAGAATGAGTCTGGGCTTAAGAGTTTGACCCAGAAGCAAGGGATGGATTAACTGATGGCATAATAGAAAGATTCTGAACCATTGGGCATAGTAACACCCTTAAAAAGTGGCTGCATTTGCAGCCCATACAGGAATGGAAAGCAAGGCATTTCCTGTACTTCTACCACGTATGAGTGGTATTCATGCTACAAACATCGAGAGCTTTCCCAATATTTCATTTTGCCAAGTAGTATTGGTTGTTCAGCTGGTAAAACCAGAAAAGAAGCAGCTGCTCATATATTATACTGTGCATATGATGCTTACCTGATCACAAGTATGTGGCTTCAAAAAGTGTGTATACACATACAGCACAGAGAAATAACCAGGACTTGATCCTGCTTGGCCAAGTTGCATCAATTATGATGTCCATCCACCTGGCACAACAGGCTGTGCAGTTTTTACAGTACAGGTACTTGAAGGATATCCAGGTTGCCATCCTTCTGCACATCAAGATTAGGCTACAAGTCCCATACTGAGAGCATGAAAACCTACTCTGGATGCATCCTTTCATCCTAAGCACTTTTAATTGGAAGTAAGGCTGGTTGACTCCACCAAGCAAGTATTGCAACCTGTGAATGAACCCAAACTTTTCATTAAAACACCTCTTAAGACTTAGTTGTAAGACTCACTTAGGACCCGTTTACAGCCCACCATACCAATCATGTGGGAAATAATTTCTTGCACAAAATCAGTTCTGATTGTAGATAGAGGTCAGGCAGGCAAAGGGTGAGTGTTGGAATAGTTCCCCATGAAAAAGCAACACTTCCCGAACATTGCAAAATAACATGTCAAAGCCAGGCTGCATGAACCCATGCTCCTTAGCATGCTATGGGTCTATATGCAGCATGATTTTTCCCTGTTCAGCAGCTAAAATAAGCAATGTTAAACTCTCCCTCCTGTCCCTGATATATTTATTTAGTTATCCACCTTATTTGCTTCTTAGTAGAAAGAGAAGGGCTGGGCATCCACCCATTTTAGACAACCTTTCTAAGATTTGAAAAGGCCTTAGTTGGCTTGAACATGCGAGATGGAGTGGATCAGATATAGCCCTCACAGACATGAGGAATCAATAGCCACGCACTCTGTCCCGGAAGGGCACCGAATGCTGCATCCCTTCACATCGGCACTACAGGCACACCTCATTTTATTGCACTTTGCTTTATGGTGCTTTGCAGGTATTGCATTTTTTACAAACTGAAGGTTTGCATCAACACTGCATTGAGCAAGTCTATCAGTGCCCTTTTTTCCAACAACGTTTGCTTACTTTGTGTCTCTGTGCCACCTCTTGGCAATTCTCATGGCATTTCAAACTTTTAGATTTAGAATATTACATAAACTCAGTTGATAAAGCAGTGGCAGGGTTTGAAAGAATTGCCTCCAATTTTGAAAGAAGTTCTACTGTGGGTAAATGCTATCAAGCAGCATCACATGCTACAGAGAAAACTTCTGTGAAAGGAAGAGTCAATCAATGTGGCACACTTCACTGTTGTCTTCTTTTAAGACATTTCACAGCTGCCCCAACCTTCAGCAACCACCACCTTGATTACTCAGTAGCCCTCAACAAGACAAGTCCCTCCACCAGCATAAAGAACATGACTCACTAAAGGCTCAGATGATAGTTAGCATTTTTAGCAATAAAGTATTAAGGTGTATACGTTTTTAGACATAATGCTATTGCACACTTACTAGACCACAGTATAGTGTAAATGTAACTTTTATATGCACCAGGAAACCAAAAAAATGGTGTGACTCGCTTTACTGAGATATTCACTTTATTGAGGGGGTCTGAAACCAAACCTGCAATATCTCCGAGGTATGCCTGTATTATTACTAATAATTACAACCTTCATGCTAGAATTTGTAGTTGCATTAAACAGCTGAAGAAATGCAAACAAAATGACAGCACTGTTTATTACACTTAAAGTTGCAAATATAACACGACTAAAATATGGCATTAGAACATTTCAATGAAGGTTAAAATTGTATGCAAAACTGGTGGAGAAGGAACAGCCATTTCTTAGAAATGAAGTCAGCTGGGCTCCACTGGAGCAGCATGTGGCTTATATACCAGGTTTCCCTTTTGATAGGTAGAAGAAACACAAACCAAACAAGAAGACATTATTCAGCAGCTTTCCTAGACATGGTGGCCTCCTGAGATGTTGGCCTTCAGCTCCCAGCCAGCATGACAAGTGTCCCTCCCTCCAACTTGCTTTATACCTGGGAATGCTGCACAAGTGGTCCTTAATCCACTTCTTTGGGTACTCTCGTTATAGTGATGCCAAGAAGACTCAGCTTCACCCTGCCTTCTCCACTCAGATGCCCAATGTGCTTTTATGTCGGACTCTACCATCCAGCCGCACCTTTTCAGTTTTATGAAAATGTGCATCCTTTCACAGTGCAATCACATGCATGTTGCTTGGACTTCAGTCCTGTGATGCTTGACAGGGCTTACAGTGGTGTGTGGCCATGGAATGGAAACATGTAAATATAATTTATGCAATAGATATCCTACTGGCAGCTAATGCTTTGGTGCATGGGGCATATCAACCTCTGTGAAATTTACAGGGAGAACACCAAACTCAGGTGGCGTTATATATTTATAAAGCATTTGTCTAAACAGGAAAAGCCAAATCCAAAGCTTTTTCTGAAAAGGAATGACTTCTTCCTTGTATCTCTTAGGAAGTATATACTACTTGGTTTGATCTGTTTGTGTTAAAGCTGAAGTCTGGGAGAATTCCCATGGAGATGAAGGTGTGAGGTACCATGAACTAACTCCACATTGATATTCCAGATGCCATCACAACCAAAGTAAACGGATGTAGCCCTTATCTACATTGCACAGGGTAAGGGGTGTCGTATTATGCTGCATATTACACAAACACATCCAATTTCTGAAGGTGGCCTGTGAAGACACACTACAATTTCCAAGTGAATAAAACCGTTTGCTTTCTGTTATCAACATCAGCAGTATTCTGAAGCCAATCTGATATTATTTTACATAACTGATAGCAGTAACAGGGCAGTAAGAAAAGAGGAACACTGAGTTGCTATCCTTGGAATATTCATTCTTATCTGAACTTCTTCATGTGATAGAGGAGTGTGGCTTATTTTGTTCTTGAATCTGATCAGCAAGTGAGCTTTCATTGCTTCTTGTATCCTTACAGTGGATATCTGCTGGCAAATGTATATTTTTGAAGACACACAAAAGAACTGTTTGAATTTTCATTGCTAGATTAATAGGACAAGGAAAATAACTATAGCTAAAATAGCAATAGTTCTAACAACACTGGTAACAATTACTTAAGATCATTTTAATAGACCCAAAACAATCCTTTACTATTTGCAATCACATTTGGCATTTTCTCCTAGCTACTATTTGGTGCCTTTTCAAGAACAAGTTACTTTCCAATAATTTAATCAAAACACAATATTTTAAAAAGTTGCTACATTGATTAAAATGTGCCATATTCTTACGTATCTGACACAGTGTAAGCCTACCAAAGCATGAGATTCCAACTTTTTACAAAGATCACCATATTAAAATATGAAATATATTCTAATCCCAACAAGGAAGGGTGACAGTTGACTTTGTAGAGATCACGTGAAGGCATTCCAGGTCACGTGATTTGTAATGCTTGGTGATTAATTGTAGGTTCCTTTAGTTCTTATGCAAGTGGTAGCCATTCAGGGCCCAGTCTTGTACTTCTCCACTGCTGAATAATGCAAAGAAAAGAGCTCCAAGTAAGTTAATGGCCCCAGCAATATAGAACACGACCTGCCACTCTCCCACAGTATTCTGGAAAAGAAGGACAGAAACAAGAAGATAAATCAGGGTACCATGCTCAAGAATTAACCAAAGCAGGATGCTTTCTATTAACATAATTTTTCTTCACTTTCCTGTATGCATTTTCGATGTCTATTTCCTCCCTTACCGCTATTAATCCTCACAACTATTATTGACAACTATTATTTTCATGCAATGATAACCCAGAGTGATGGTTGAAATGACCTGGTTCACACAACATAGTGATGTGATATTTAACCCAGGAAGAGGCAGTCTGTGCTAGATGTACCTAGCTGCCATTTAGAATATGCAAGGTATCATTTCAGGTTGCAGCATGTAATGTAACTCACCTGGCAATTGGGAGTTATATGAGAGTTACAGAATACTTGCAAAACCCTTGCCCGGGGGGGGGGGGGGCTTATGCAAGGATTTATCCTTCAAATTGGTTCTAAATACACTATGTTAAATACAATAAAATGCAATATAATACAAAACATAAATCCACATTACAGCATTAAACTACATTTAAACCAAGATGAAAAAATAAAGTTCAGAAGGAACATCGGAGTCATGAATGCAATAATAATATGAGCTCATAACATTCAATTGATGAATTATTTTTATTATATCATATTTTTCTTATTTTATGATTTGAACCTGGAATTTCTAACTCTTAATCTTATACTTTAACAATCACTTCATACTTTGAAACCAACAATGAAAAGATTTAAAAAATCCTAGTCTAAAAGGAAATTCTCTGGTGGGTTACAAAAGTTGAAAGTGCACATCATTTTATAAAAGTTAGGCGACAGTCAGACGCCTAAGAAACACAGAAAAATTGCCATTGCATTCTAATGAGTGCAGAATGAAAACAAAAAGGATTGTTGAATAAGCCATATTGTGCTGGTAAAGCTTCCAGTCCTGATTACGTATGCTGAGGTGATGGTTACCGGTTCTGTTGCTTAGGGAACAAAGCTGTTTGTAGCCCAGGCGCCATGAAGGAAGGGCAGCGGTCAGTTTGATTGAGAGAAAACATTGCACAGGGTTCAAGTTAAGGACCTTGAAGGGGTTCTTGGGAGATAAAAAATGTCCAAGAAGCTCAGAGACACTGAGGCTAAAGCAAGTGGGCAGAGTATGTATGTATGTATTTATTTAAAACATTTCTATCCCATCCTTCACAACAGCATCTCAGGACAGCTTACAAGAGTAGGCAGTGAGCTGAGAAAAATGAGCCTGAGGGGGGAGACTACCGAAGAATGAAGCTTGAGGAAAAGAGCAAAGAAGAAGTAGGAAATGGAAGAAGGCCATAATTAGAAGGGGAGGGGGTTATAGTATTTTAGATAAGGAGGACCTCTATATTGCAGTGAGAAGGGTAAGAACAGTTTCCAAGGGTGGTAACATTCCCTTGAAGCCTAAACTCAGATTGTACCTCTGAAAGTAGGGGTGCAGTAAGATTTATAAAGAACTTTGTGTGAAGTTCTCGTGTAAGGCTGCTGAGTTCCAACTCTATGAAGTAACACTCTTACAACAGCAAAAAACTCTTGTGAATGTGTGAAAATCTGGGAGTCCCAACTCTACATACAATCTCTATGTAGGCACCTTCCAAGGAAGACACACCCTCCAAATTTTCATCTTGAGTGGAGCAGATGTGACGCCAACCTAATGTCAGACTGTGAGACTCACTGGTAGCAAGAAAGAGTTTGTGCCTATGATGTGATAGGAATAAAAGGGAGCTTTCTGTTTTGTGCAGGGTATTCTTTCTTCAAGAGTCTGCCCTGCACAGTTCTTAATTCATAATGTGGGCCCACAAAAACCTGCTCCCTTAATTTTCTTGAGATTTGCTGGATCTCCAGCTATAGACAACAGGAGCGCTTGCAGAAGAAGCTTTTACTATGCAATTGCCCGTCCTAAGATATGAAATTTTATGGGGGATCCAAATATCCTTGTCTTCCATTTGAAATGCTTCTGAATTTACCCAATGGTTCTGCTGTCTTTTCTTACCAGGAAAAAGTCATTAAGGTGAAGAAAAAGACAAAATAGGTGCACAATGCCTTTTGATCTTTGTTCTAGGAACTGTCCATTTGGAATCATCTCGGGAAAAACATGTCCACATTTTGTTTTCGACTGATGTGAAGAGGCCTGAAAAACTGTTTTGCTGAATTTGGGAGGGTTACTATGGCAAACCTCATGAAGCAAAGAGCTACAACATATGGTTTTTGAAAAATAAAAATTGATTTTAGTACAGCAAGTCCCAGAACAAAGGTTCATTCCTTCTCCTACGAGACATATGGCTGAAAATATTCTGCAGTTTTATATCAATGAATGTTATGAAGTGAGAGTAAAATCTTTGGTTTCATTTATAGAAATAACTATCCTTAATTGATAGTGACACATTGACAACCTTTCCCATCCTATAAGAAATGACCAGGAATTACTTACACTATGAGTCAAACTCTTCGCAACAAGCGGTCCCACCATGCCCGGAATTGTAGCAAATGAATTTGTGATTCCAAGAAGGATGCCAGCATATCTAAAGCAAGTAAAATAGAAAAGTGTTACTCTGGCCATAGTATTTGCAGGTTCCTTCTGGCACTGAGGAATACTGGTACTCTCATAACATTTTCAGTTCCTCACATAGCTGCTACACTGCTCCCAACTTTGCTCAACACATACATTAGATAAAGTAGCCAAAAGAACAACCTTTGTGGGAACTTAAAGACTGCATATTTATTCTGGCAGGTCTTTTTTGGACTACAGCCCACTTCATCTGATATAAAAGCAGACATGTACAAGGGAGGAGAGATATTCTTAATACAAGCCCAAGTGTGTTGCCACCCAAAGCCTTCCTGACAAACTGAAACAAGAGACACCAGAAGGAATTTCACACATGAATCATCCATTTGCCTGGAAGGGATTAGAAGAGCTTCTCACATGCACAAGCTTCTCAACGAAGTATTTACAAGTGGAGTAAAAACTAGGCGCTAATCTGCTGACATACATAGCCTTTAGCACAGTGGGTCTCCTTCCAGGTCCATTTGTGCATGTACTTTACACAAGGCCATAGGAGATGGAGAGGAGAAAACTGCGAATTCATGGCTATTTAAACACACACAAGCATTTTCATGTTATTTTCTCAGACAGTTCAAACACTAGCACACACCAATACCCCCCACTATGAACGAATGAACTCTAAAGAAACCACAAACCAGACTGAACAGCAAGAGAAGAGCATTTTTCTTCCAGCAGCATACAGTACGTACATATTGTACTCTATGTTTGTTTACACTGCAAAAAGTCCTATGGCTCCCAGCATTTCCCGGCCAACCATGCTGGCTGGGGATGGGAATTGTATGGCTTTTCTCCCATGTCTAAACATATACCCAATTGTGCACTTAGGTGTTGCTTCTCTTTACACTCAAGAAAAATGTTCAGTTATGCAATAACAGCACTTTCAGCAAGTTTGTCCTGGAATCAGTCTTTATGTATATATCTCCTGTACATGAGAATCAGTATATCCTCGAAGGCACAAGCAGTAAGCTAGAAGGAGGACAGGGCAGAAGTGAGAGTAAAATCTTTGGTTTCATTTATAGAAATAACCAGGGCTTTTTTTGTCGTAGAACGCACTGGAACAGCATTCCGGCACCGTTTTTTGACAGATTTTTCCAAGTGATTGTGAATCACCCTGTTGGGTGTAGCAGATCCATGGCAAAAATCATTAACACAGTGCCTGCAGGCTGCTTGTGTGTCGGCGCCGACTGTCGGCACTGATTGTGAAGGCGCTGCTCGGCTTGGGACGCTGCTCGGCTTGGGATCGGTCGTGTGGTCGCACGCTGAGTGCTTACTGCCGGCGGTGACCATTGTGTAAAAGTGTGACCCCAAGACGTGAGTTCCGGCACTTTTTTTTTTTTTTTTTCAAAAAAAGCACTGGAAATAACTATCCTTAATTGATAGTGACACAAGTGACAACCTTATAAGAAATACAGGGCAGGCAGAATCTTTGTGAGACAGCATTGGCAGTACAGCTCTAATATGCTATGGCATTTCCCTCAAATCTGGAAGGATTCATAACATACACTGCAAGGGCGTGGGATAAGAGGGGGAGTCCTCTTAAGAATCCCTCACGGGCTAAAGAACTGGAAGTGTTAAGCAGGAATGCAGGCGACATTCTCCCAATGGTGGGATGCAAAGAGTGGGGCAGTCCCAGGATCTATATTTGTACCAGTGCTTTTTAACTAATCCAGAAATGATCTGGAATTGAGGCTAAGCAAGTGAGGTAGCAAAGTTTCCCATTATGCAAATCTAAAAAAGGATATTGTTGAGGGGAAAAAGGTACAGAAAAGAGCAACTAACTTACATGGGATTAGAACAACATTCCTATGAGGAAAGATTTGGGGGTTGTCTAGCAAAATTCGTTTGACAAGACAGAAAGAAAAGGAAAAGGCAAATGAGGTGGGACATCATAAAAGCATGACAACTGCACATGGTGCTGAGAAAATGGATATGGTAAGTTCAGTCTTTCTATTGCTACCTAATAGAGGCAGAAGGTTTTCTACCTAGTAATAGAAGTGGGATTCAGCCTATGAAGGTGATGGGTGGGAGATTCTGCACAAATCAAGGGAAATACTTCTTTACACCATATCTACGGAAACGATGGCATTCGCTACCACAAGATATAGTGATGGCTACCAGCCTGAATGGCTTTAAAAGGGGATTAGATAAATTAATGGAAGTTAAGGCTTCCAGTGACGCCTTCCAATTGTTGGCGGGCACTACAGAAGGATGCAGCTGCACTTGTGGGTTTTCTATGGGCAACTGGGTGGCCACTGTGGGAAGAGAACACGGGACCAGATAGCCTTTGTTCTGATCCAGCAGGGCCCTCTGTATACTGTTAACCCTGTACTAAAGTAGTAGGGCCAAAACTTAGATCAGGGAGTGAACAGCTGGGGAAAATTATGTTTTAACTTTAAATCAATTCATCATATGAATTATATATTCTTTGACTTAAGTGTTTAAAGGTGAATGACTCTATGAAGGAAAATGCTAAGGTCTAAAAGCCTCACAGGACAGAGTACAATAAAATTCCATAAATCTTTTAGTGGTGTCTCTGCAAATTTCCCCTGGGATATTTAAGCCCTGCAATGGCATTGAGCTGATATCGTTCAACTGGGCTATGCAAAAATATTTCCCGAGCATTTCTAGCTCAGTGGCAACCTGTGCAGTGTATCTCCAGCCAACAAGTGTGACATGCTCCAGAAAACACGGCAGATTAACAGAGCAAACCTTTGCATACATATCCAGAAGTAAGTCCCACTGAGTTTAATGGGGCTTTGGTGCTTTCAACTTCCCAGGGCTACAAAGCATACTGATTACTGTTGTTGAAAACTGGTGGCAGGCACCGCAACACTTGCACAAATTGCTCAGAAGCAGCGTTAAGTGGACCAAGATAAGCATGGCACCAAGACACACGACGTAGTAGAAGACTGATGAAATGTTTCTGGCAGAAAGGGACTCAAATCAGTTAGGCCAAGGAGTGCCCTTAGGGTGGAGACATGCTTCTTCTCTAGCACAAGCGAACAGAGCCCCATGACTTTCTTTCTCATATGCCTCTTTCTGGACCTGTGGCCATGAGCAAGGGATGACAGCTGATGGGGAACACCAGCAGTTGCAGCTCCCTGCTGGCTCCTGGCTCTCTTCCCAACAGGTGCATGGGCAGCAGGAGAGGTGAGGAACAGCAGCAGGGGTGACAACCATGATGAGGGGGAGAGGCCTACTGAGGACACCCTGCCCAAAGGTCCCCCAAGTCTTGGGGCTGCCACTGATCCTTCCATCACTTGGTTTAGTGTTCATAGCACTCGCTCTTAGTTCATTCTGGCACTGTTTTAGTTCACTTCCACAACACATTTCTTAAACAAGGTGTAAAACATAACCAATTTCGTGACGAAACCAAGCAGCAAGGATATACCAATTGTCAACAACAAAGAAACAGAGCGAGTCAGAAGGGGTCTCCCGGGCTATCTAGTCTGACCCCCAGCTTCACAAATGGTAACCTTAAGCTACAATAATGCTTTCAAAAGCACACTCATGACTTTACTTTATCAGAGTTCATTCAACTTAACACATTCTAGTGAAATTAGTATTTTCAGAAAACAACACTGTTAGGTTTCTTTAAAAAAAATACCTACGATGGTGCAATATCCAAGTGGTTGATGCTGTAACCAGATGTAGAAAATCCACCTAGTGTTGTTGATATGGTTACAAATGCAACAGCCAGTTCATAGTTGCAGCCGATGAACCCAGCCGCGACAAGGAAAACCGCCGGTCCAATCATTCCTTAATCCAGAAATCAGAAATATTATCTTCACGGAAACTCAAGAACACTGTACAGTAATGATTGGAGTATAACTACCATTATTTCCAACAGTAGGCAGTTCACATCTACTCATCCGCCCAACACTACTGCTCTGCGGCAATTTCCTTGCTGTGTGCTGAGCAGAGATCCTGTGAGCCACTGTTTAACTCCCTGACAGAACATCCATGTGACGGAAAGGGAAGACAAGTCCACGCTCCTTGGAATTCACAGGATGGACCACATATGTCCACCTACTGTCCCTCTATCCCAGCCATACACAAAGAGTTTGCTACAGGTTCTGACCAAGTCAAATCGGGACAGGGAGGCAAACGGCTCGGAGATGCCGGGGCATTAACAACACCTGGAGTCTCCACAGCAAATTGCTGAAACTGTGGAGAAAGCTGGTGGTACTGTGGAATGCGGGAAAAGAAGTAGTGTGGCGGGATGTGCCTCCTCCAAAGGATAAGAGGGTGCAAGGCATAGCATGGCTTTCCCCAGGCTAGCGCTCTCCAGCCCCTTCCTTTGAGAACTGAAACGATAAGGAAATTGACAAAGCTGCATTCATTGGACAGCCACAGTGTGTTCCTGAGCCCTTGTGAAAGATGAACATGCAAGCAATAATTTAAAATTAGGAATACAGAAGCATACTATTCTGGGGGACCCCAACCTCCAAATTGGTGAATAAAAAGGGACATGATCAGAGCAAGAGACAGTGTAGGTTCTGCCACAAAAGGCACTGGGGTACTGGTTGAAGAAGGCAGTTGGGGAGAAGAAACCATGGGGAGTCTGCTCTATCAGGTGCACTATGGGTTGTTCTGTGAGCCACACTGTGTACTTACAGGGTGGCTCAGAGTGATGTGTGAACATGGCCTTTGCTTTGCCTGGGCTGCCCCATCCATGGCTTTAACAGTGCTGTGCTATCGTAGCATTATAAGATGCACAGTGTGACCCTATGCATGCTTGCTCAGAATGTCAGTGGTACTTATTCCTAAGGCAGTGTGCACAGAAATGTAACCCAAGTGGGAAAGAAAACCTGTGGACTGCCCGGACAGCATTAGCTGTTGGGAAGTATTGGAATAAAATTGAGAGCAAACAGCTAGTTTTGCATGCAACTTAAAAAAAAAAGATTCTAGTGTCCCATCTAACTGGCCGTTATCTACTTCTCTGTGCTTTTTGTGATACTTAATTATGGATGGCTTACTGGTAAAATGGTTTTTAGGTTATTATGACAAGAATTGAACATTCTATCAGATAATAGATACTATTAGTACATTTACAGTCTATTTACAGAATGTATACCATTCTACAGTCTATTGCCACCTAGTGTCCAAAACATGTCATAACATGCACTTTGGGGATTCATGCTTGTACAGCTTTATTTGCAACAGACTCAAAGCTGGAGATTCTAATTAAAAACCAACTCACCTGTTGTGGTGGTGGTGCTTATTTAAAAAATAATAATCATAATAAAAGTAACCACAATACAGGAAATGCCAAACACATCTGAGTTAATTAGGGCTTGCTCCCAGAAAAAAGTGTCTGGAGTTTCTGCCTAAAGTGCTAATGGCATTGCAAAAGTGGAAAAAAATACATATGAGTCACAGAGCACATTAAAAAATAAAGCACTTTCTCTTTCTTACCGATCAGAGTAAATGTTTTGCGCACACATACAGTAGACATGTTTTGCTTTTCCCGTAAATAATCAGCAAATTGACCAGAAAGAATTATACAAATCCAACAGCCAAAATAAGGCAGAGCTGATAAAAATCCATTCTGTAGAGGAAAAGAAAAACAAGCAAGAACATTAATTTAATTACTGTTTTGAAAAGCTTGAAAGAGCTTTTCAATTGCAGTGTTAGACACTGTACCATAAGATCACTAGTGAACATATATGAGAAGTCAAACTTATTATAAAACGGGAAACTGACGTAACTCAAGTAAAAGTAATACTTCCTTGGAAACTATAATGGAAATACAGTTTATGTTATGACATATGAATATTTGGTTTAACATGCAGCTTTCCATCTATTATCAGAGTTACAACAGAAGTTTAACACTAGAAGTTAAGGGAGAAGACTTCTGCCTGGTTTATGGCTGGAGTGAAAGCTAAGACTGCTTATTTGGTCATTTACCTTGGATTTTTTAAACTGTGAGAGAGGAAGGAGTAGGCAACTCTAACAGTCCCTTCAGATTTTGAGAGGTTCACAAAGGTGGGGGAGGCAAGAAACCCCAAATATATATATTTAATCAAGAGCAACGTGACTTCCATTGGAGTCAATGGTAGTACACTGATTTCAGATCAATACAACGGAAAGGGAACATATAAGGACTAATTTATGCTATTGCAATCTCTCTATATGATTATGTATGTAGGTAAAAGACCTTGAGAAGAAAAGCTAGTGTGTACCAGGCAATCCACGAGGTGTATAAGTAGCTGCCTACGTGGAAGGTGGGGATATTCAAAAGGTGGGGATATTCATGAGAAGGTCCAATGGTGGAGACCTTTATTTGTCAGCAGAACTGATGTTCTGGCCACACCATGTGGCTGTCTGGCAGATCATGGTGGGGCGTGCTGCCACCACATTGAAAATGCAAGTCACCTCAAGGGTTGTTGTATTTTGGAAATCCAGTGAATGTGGGTCTGTTTTTGGGTTATACAGGGGTGGTTTAATCCTTGCATAACCCTTTACATAATCCACACACACTGAATTTGCATGACACGGCCTACAAGCAGGGGTTGCAGTGTACAAGTAGCCTGGTATGTACACACGCTGCTCGTCACGGAGTAAGCATCCTGTGACATGCTGTCCAATCTCAGTCAATGGCTTTTCACACATACCCTGAAAATGAATTCTTATTAATCTGTGAACACACTGGGAAGGACCAGCCTCCCCCTTGAAACAAGACCCTCCTACTCATCACCCAATAATTAAGAAGCTCAGTGTAAGGCTTTATACAAAAGTCTGGTTGTTCAGCTGCTCCTTGTGCATCTAAAAGAGCAGCTGAACAACATGGTCGGCATGTCCCAGGAAAGAGAGAAACAAGCAGCGAAGGAAATACCTGGTCTTTCTTCCTCTTGGAAAAGAATGGTCTAGTGCATTTTTGGCATAGGGTTCACCCTTAACAAGTCAGTTATATGAATAGTAAGACATGATCTGGATGAACTCATTTATATGACAACATCTAGAAGTGAAGCACAAATCATACTGCAAGTAGACTCCTCCCAATCAAACGTTAGTGAAACTCACTCTTTAGGGTGCAATCCTTTCCCTTCAAAATGCATGAATAAGTATGGGAGAGAAATATTAAGGTAACATCAGCAACTTCATACAAAGAAAACTTATATAAAATGTTTTATAGATGGCATTTGTCACCAAATTGATTAGCTAAGGTGTTTCCAAATATGTCAAATAGATGTTGGAAATGTAAACATAAATTGGGTACCTTTTATCATATGTGGTGGACTTGTGACAATGTGAAAAAGTACTGGATTAAATGGCTTGAGGAAATGCTACAAAAACCTTTAGCTTTTAAACCTGAAGTTTTCCTATTAGGTATTATACCGGAAGATATTAACAAACAAGAAATGTATTTGATGTTACATGTAATTACTGCCACGAGGATTGCACTTCTCAACATTGGAAAAGTGAGGAATTACCCACCAACGAACTGATCCTAAGAAAGATTCTGGACTGTGCAGAAATGAATAGATTAACTTTATCACTGAAAGAAAGAAGATACTGACTTCTATCAAACTTGGGAACTTTTTTATTATTGGCTGGAGAAACGGGACTTGGCTTAGATTTAAAGATGTCTTTAGGTTGTTATAAATGGATTCGATTATGACTATGGAATTTTAAAAAATATGTAGTAGGGGGCTGACCCAGTACGTCCGATGTATTTGATGATTGATGTTTTTAGTAGTAGTTTAAAAATCTTAATAAAAATTCTTTAAAAAATGCATGAATAAGTAAGGTAAGGAATTGGGATAGGCTGCTTTTTCCAATGATGTTTTGCCTACATTTTAGCAAATAGTTTTTGATTAACTGTGCTTTTTGGATTTAGAAACATTTTAGCAAATAACCTAAAAACAGAAACAAGGAACAGGCTATAGCACTATTATATTTAACAAGAAAGAGACAATTCCACCTGTTTAACAGTATATGGAGTCATTTTTAAAATTTGGACATATATTCTTCTCAAAAAGCAACCAGAGGTTTATGAGCTGCACTTCCAGCAGCAGCTCTGTATAGCATGGCTTCTAGGAAACTGTACCCAAATGAAGAGAAATTCATGAATAGACCTACTAACAATAAGCTGGAAATCTTTTATAAGTAGCAATGGAGAATGGGCACCTCAAACTCTCTTACTAGAATGGATTTTCTTGGAAAAACACAAACAAGAAACTTTAATTAAAACCCTCTGATAGGTAACAAGAATACTATTTGAAATTCTTGTCCTAACAAACTCTCAGCCCTTCTCTGATAGCCACATCCCTCTAATTATGCAGTTGCTTTTGAGGCTGCATACAGAATGCCAGCGGGGTCACAGAGTCAAATGTTCACCAGAGATTTGTGACCAGATTTGTACTTAGTCAGAACACTAACTGAATGACCCTGGGCCAAATAGGATCTCTATAATGGCTGTGGAAACTCTGGCATATGTTCCTAGTTACACTGGGATGAAAATTCACACTTGTAAAATCAGAAGACATGGGACATCTTACCTCCTGGACATCAAATCTCAGAATCTCTTTCATATATGTAGGCAACAGGGTGAGGAGGGTGTAGAAAGTCCAGTTATACGAGAAGTGTGCAACAACAATAGCCCAAAGTGGAAGGGATGTCAACATGGCCTCCCAAGGCACATTCTTCTGGGTAGAAAGCTAAAGAGAAAGGATGAAATCCACACGGACATTCTAGAGCTTTGAGATTTTGAGATGCAAGATCCAAGCAACTTGACTTCTAAAGAACATGTCTGGTTCACTTGCATAATTAGGGAATCATTTCAGACCTAATGGCAAATCCTTTATTCCATGGTTAAGGGACCATGAACAGGCTATCAGATCAGTCCCTCAATGTTTACCTTCAGAACCTGGTTTGTCAAGCTGTGAGTACACACATTATTATGAAAAATAAAAATATTAAACTATATGATGCCTTTTTGCTGATTCTGCTATTAGGTGTTCTTTCCCCCTTTCATCCAAGTGTTATTTTAGTTGGGAAAAACATTTTGCTATTAAAATCTTTTATTGCCCTTTAAATATTTAAATTTTAAGTATTTTGCCCCAGTATTTCAATAGCAGTATTTGTCACAACTGCATACCTGGTCTGTAAGGGATGAGAGAATGTACTCCTTTTCTGTATGGGAAATTCTCTTGTGAGTTTCTGGTGTATCGCTAACCATCCCGATCCAAAAGAGGAACCACAGCACACCTAAGGCACCTTAAAATAAGGGGTGGGGGTGGGGGAAGAGTGCATGTCACTAAATTGAAGTAAAAGCCAGCTATGCACCATTAAAATAGATTAAGAAACAAATACTCCACATCTAGACCAATTGTAAGCATTAACACTGTTAATGTGAACCAGGCAGGACATAGTAGACAATCGGCCTTCAACAAGCTTAAAGGATAATTATTTTTCAGTGTATGTTTATAGGATCACAACACTGTGAATCCATGTGTGCCAACTGTTATCGATCATCCACTGATTCTCTTAGCACCAAATAAGTGTCAGCCTCAGTTTTTCTACAGCCTTCCTGAAGCAGATGGGTCTAAAAGATTCAGGAAAGTCACAGTGGATGGGAACACAAACTAAATTAAGTCAGAGCTTTACAGCTGATGTCTTTAAATGAGGGAGCCGGGCTGTTAAGAAACACTCCCACCCACATGCCTCCTTGTAAACTCTCACTGGGAAATCTTTGTCAACCACATTCCTAGACAAGTACCCATATATTAATTACTCAGACAGAAAAGAGTCCCCAAGTCAATAGTCCGAGGGCTGCAGCAGGCACAACAGCTGTGCTTTGTAACAATCCTGTGCAACGTGCTCGAGAAAAAACTTAGAAAAAGTTTTACCCGACATCATCTTATGTACACTGAGAACACTTACCAAATATGTAGAATACATAAATCCAGTCCATATAAAAACAGATCAAGCCAGACAGTGGAAGAGATACAACTGTTCCTAGCTGGGCACCTAGAAATGCGAAATTGTCTTTTACACAAATGTTGCCAATACAAATTCTAGCCACACAGAGATTCGTTGAGGATTTGAAACGTTTGAGTGAGGGGTAACCCCGGTTGGAAGGCAATACAAGTATGACAATCAACCATGGTTGTGAACAGCAAGAGAAAGATGTGATGAGGGAGCCCTGGGTCTGGTCCCAATCCCTGCACCACTATTCAGGGAGGTTGCTGTCACATCTTCAGTGACTAAACTTGGGCATTTTTGTGACTCTCACCTGCATATGAAATACTAAGAAGTTTACTGCGTTCCAGTGGAGGAGCCCAAGAGGACCACATGGCATGCATGGCAGGAAAGGTCACACCCTGGAAAACAGATTTTGTTTATTGTACACACACACACAGAGCGAGAGAGACCGCCTTGAAGAACAAAACAAATCTTCATTTGTTGAGATAAACAATTGACTTCAAAGAAGCATTTTCCTTAAGTGAAAGCCTGAGAAAATACTGGTTGTATTAGGATGAGGCTATTTTCTCAAAAACAGTGCATAGTTTGTGGGCAATTAAGCAGAACTAAGTCCTCGCCCGCCTCAGTTCTTCAGCTGAATATGCTTTGTGGACATAATAATTCTGCTGAACTTTTGGTTTGTGCTCTGCAACAGCAACAAAAACATCTTCTTCAATTTGGATTTTTAAATGCCAGTATGCTAAGGAGGCCAGGCATTGCAGCAGAAAAGGGGCTCATTTTGCATCAGGCAGAGCAAGTTTTTTTAAAAAACCAACCTGAAATTAAACAAGAAACCGAAAAAGATACTTACATAGATCTGGAATTTAACAAACGTTCAGAAACAACATAGGAGGTCACAGCCACTGTGATAGGCCTCTAAATATTGCAAAGATTTTATGCTTGGCCAAGACAAGCCAATGGCCACCGTGTAGTGTATAGATGGCCAGAAGATTTTTCAGAGAGCCAGCTATGAGGTCAGCAAGCCTCACACTTGGAGCACCCTTCCCACCTTGAAAGCCGGTGTGGAAAGAGCTAAGCTGGCAACCTGTCTGAGGTTGCAAGTGCGGTTTAGTAGGGGTTTAGGGGTGTTCTAGGGGGCAGGAAGGACTGCAGGTGGTGTAGTGGTTTAAACCGCTGTGCTGCAGGGCCGGTTGATCAAAAGGTCGCCGGTTCGAATCTGCACAACGGGGTGAGTTCCCGTTGCTCCGTCCCAGCTCCTGCCAACCTTGCAGTTCAAAAGCATGCAAATGCAAGTAGATAAAAAGGTACCACTTTGGTGGGCAGGTAACAGCGTCCCGTGCACTGTGGTGTTCAGTCATGCCGGCCACATGACCACAGAGACTGTCTGTGGACAAACGCTGGCTCCCTCCGCTAGGAAACGGAGATGAGCACTGCCCCATAGAGGCAGGCATGACTGGACTTAATGTCAAGGGGAAACCTTTAGCTTTACCTAGGGGGCAGGAAGGAGACAGGTATCACCAAGATAGGAGGTTACCTGATGGTATCTCAGTTTCCTTCTCTCCTGAGCTGAGGCATCCTCATACACAGCTGAAACTGGCCATGTAAGTATTCTGCAGGAAAGGAAGAGCACAGAAGCAACCTTTGCCTCAGTGCTTCCTCTGTCCTGCACAGGATGCCTGTAATTCTTCAAGTTTGGAAGGCTATGGGTAGATTGCACCCTAAAGCACTAAACAGTTTTGGGAACAGCTTATCCGAAGAGCCACCAGCATTCATAGATGCCCAACGTGCCTCTCTGCCAACACTGAGTTTAGCTGCTGCAGCTGCAATTTTATTTTTAGATGTGTTGTTTCACTTATCATTTTATGGTTGGTTTTAGTAGGTTATCAAGTATCTTGGACTAGCAAAAGTAGGATCAACAAGAGAAAAATAGAACAAAGATTAAATTAATTACATCTTCTCCACTGGCATAATCTACACAGGCTGCAGAATTCAGCTTTTCTTGGTTCAGAATTTTAGATGGTCCAGTGCAGAATTTTCATTCCCTTTTTTAGACCAAAGTATACACGCATGTGCAGTGACTAGGCAGAGGATGTTGTTCATAACTTTGATCTTTTACTAGTGGCCCAAACACTCCTTCCTCTTCCTGCTTCCTACAACCTCATTGTACACATACACACAGGACTGGCAACATTAGTCTTAAACAAACTTAAAACCATAAAATTCAGTAAGTTAGTCAAATGCCATAAAGTTAAATAGAATGGTAAACCATAATACACTACCATGCGTTAAAAAGAAAAAGATGCCAAGTGATAACCAAGATAAAAACCGATATGATGACAAGATCTGAAAATGCACCAGTCTTCTTTTTAAAACGGAAGGGTTAAAAAACCTGGGAAAATAAAATAGTCTTCATCTTGACCCCAAAGGACCACAATGTAAACACCAGGAGGCCCTCTCTGAAGAGATCATTCCACAACTGGAGTGCCACCACTAAAAAGGCCCTCTCCTTAGTAGCCATGTGCTCACCTCATTTGGCAAGGTACCTGGAGAAGGGCCTCTGAAGAGGTTTTTAGGGACTGGGTGGGTATATATATTGAAACAAAATGTATTTTGCAAATACAGCTACCCTGAGAGTCTGATAGGGTGCTGGTGCTGCAATGCATGAATAAAGCCGCAATGGAGTTGAGTTGTTCATCAGCTAGTGAGCTTGCATCCTTCTGCAGTTTCTTATGAATGTATTAATCAAAGAAGAATAAAGAGGTTACCTCGCCCAGGCCTTCCAAAGCTCTGACTGCTATGAGGAATCCAACACCTAGATCCGCTGCTAAAGGTGTGAACAAGGTGAAAACTGCAGTACACAGGATGCCAAACCCCAGCAACAGCTTTCCCCCAAATTTCCGTGCAAGGTATCCACCAGGAATCTGAGTTATGATGTAGCCATAAAAGAAGGAACCAAGGATCCAGCCTTGAGTGTCAGCATCCCAGGCATACTTCTTCCCCTGGAACAGGAGACAGTGAAGAGACATGCAGATCTGGTTGATTTTTCTGCATTATAAAGAGGAAACAACAACAACAAAGGACTGCACACTCCCATTCAGTATCTGTGTGTGACTATCTATGATGTTCATCCCCATCTACAGAACAGCTAACAAAATAGCTTTTCTAGGCATCTGTCACAAGAGCAGAAAAGTACAGGTACACCTTTATGTGGTGCAAGGGGAAGCATCTCTCTATACATCTAAGAAATGACATGTGGCTCTGTGGTAAATCACAGGAGGATATATACAGCTTGGTAACACCCCAACTTATTATCCCATTAATTGTTTGCACTTTGTTTTCCAACTCAGATCTCATAGAAAGCAGCACAAGGACAATAGATACGTATCTTTTTAAAATAAAATGATCTACATAGTATATAAATGGTTTCAAAGCCACCTTTGTTCTGTTCCATTACTCAATTTATATGCTACCTACCATACTATAGATGCCATATAAACTCTGACATCTGTTAGCTATCTAATAAATGTGAAAAGCCATCAAAATCTGTCTCAGATTTTTGTGGTACAGTTCAAAGATGGCTGTTCACTGTAGAACAGATGGTGGGAAATTAGTGGCCTTCCAGATGTTAGCTGACTCCAACACCCATTAGCTTCAGCCATCATGGCCTATGGTCAGGGATGATGGGAGTTCTAGTTCACTGCATTGGAGAAGGCTGCAGTAGAGTATGGGGGTTAAAAGATGTGCCCAAGAACTCCTTCTAAGCATTTGTGCATGATGTTGGAAGTATTCTTTTTTGTGTTTACAACAGCAGCATCACCTCCATCCTGCCACAATATATTCTTTAATATGCTGGTGATGCCAACACAGAAGTGGGGGGAAATGGGGCTGTTGAACTTCTTTGGACTGGATGTGCATTTCAGCTTCCCAGCTCATGTGCTTTATGGCAGAACAGATGATGTGGCATTTCCCAAGCTCGCTCGCTCGCTCGCTCTCTCTCTCGCTCTCTCTCTGTAATATATATAAAATCTTTCCTAAGTGGAGATGTATGCACTATGGAAAATTACTCAGGTTGGCAGGATTCTGCTCTGGCAGGAGAAAGAGTTCTTACAAGAGGAGACGTAAGAGGATAAAGAGGCAATTAAACTTAAAAAAAACAAAGGAAAAAGTAAAACCTGAAAAGAGATTAATGAGGGCTGAGCGTAACTAACAATCTCCCTCCTACAAGAATTAAGCAGTCAGTGAGTTCCCATTGCTTGACGGTAATAAAATAAGAATGTTGATCTGAGCAGTAACTCTGCTCTGTGGTAGGCAGTATTTCATGTGAAATCATGCTCAGAAATATTCCCATGGCTAGAACTGCATTTAAAGACTCAACAGATAACTTCACAATGTGCAGCACAGTCCTATGCAGGCTCACACAGGAGCAAGTCCCACTGTGTTCAAATGCCCCCCTGGTTGCACTTAGATATGAAAAAGGTCCATTAGAACCACTGAAGGCTTAAAAAAGAACAGTAATGCAGTGTGGGTGGTAAGCACCTAAACTGCCCCTTTTCTAATCAGTGATCAAAGACAGAGGAAGCTGCTGCACTGGATGGAAATCTCATGCAGGCCTTCCTTGTGATACTTGTAGGCTGAAGGTTCTGTTATCTCTAGCACAAAGGAACAATGTAATCAGATGTTCTTTTGAACTTTAAAAAACAGGAATTCTTGTTCAGGGAGGAAGGCTAATACTCCAAAAGTAGCACCCATGCAGAAACCTTCTTCTGAGAATTCTCCCAAGCCTCCTGTGTCTGCACAGACTCTTCGTCAATATCCTTGGCAGAATGCCTTTGACTTAACAATTTGCATTTTTCAAAAAACCATTCCCATTTTTAAAAATAGATTTTGCAAAAGTTACCGTAGTGTTACGAGGAACAACTGGAATGGCAGAATGTTCAGGGCACATATTTGAAGTTGTGTTTTTGGTCAGGCTTGCATTTGGTTCTACCATGTCCACAAGGGCGACACTTAAATTCACACGGAGTGCGTATAAGAGAAAGAATCCAAAGAAGGCCCAGATGGCTAAACTTAGGCGAGCTGAGCAGCATATTGGAGCTGAAAGAAAAGGAGAAAGACACAACTTTATAGCAACTTATTTTTACCAGGAAAAACATTAGAAGGACCAGCAACAGCACCTCTGCCCACTGACTCACTTCCACAAGAGCAAAGATACTGGCAAAGGGTTTTTTACTTCTAGTATGAGTAATAGCAAAACTCCTATCCTCAGATCAGCTTTTCAGCATCATTTCCTTTACTTTGTGAAAGGGAGTGAAGAGCTGAGGTTCAAATAAAGGGGAAGGCTCTGCCAAAGGCTTCACCCAAAGGCCCCTTTGATGTTCATGTTCCAGGAGAGAAGATTAAAGAGCCCTTGCCCATGGGTTGGCTTGGAAAGAAGCAGCTAGTGCAAAATGGTGCTGCTAGACTGTTCAGGGTGACACTTTACCAGGTACATATTACACCAATTCGGGAGGAGTTGCACTTGCTGCCAATAAGCTACCAAGACCATTTGTCATATAAAGCCCTACATGGCTTAGGACTTGGGTAACTAATGGAACACCTTCTTACTTAGGTATCTGCCTGGATTTGGTTTGAACATAGCATTAAACCATAGTTTCTTAAACCCATAGGTTTTTGAACAATGATTTGTCATGATGTGCGAACTCAGCTGTGCTAACAAACCTTGTCAATTAAAAAAAATCATGGTTTGTTGTTGGGTTGTGAACTTAGGGTTATTTAAAATATAGGTTGTCATTATGTCCAAATGCAACACTATGTGCTGTTCATGGTTTGTTTCACTAGGCTATAAAGGCAGCAGGCAAGAGAGGTAAAAAACCCCAGCTGTTCTATAGGCTATTACTACAGTACCACAGAAGCATTTAGGATACAGGGAGTGAACTGGCAAGAAAAGAAGGGCACAAACAACCCAGGGATTAAGAAAACAAACCATGATTTGTTCAATTATCTGTCAGACAAACCTTGGGTATGGCAACAAACCAAGGGTTAACCATAGCTTAATTAAACTTTGGGCTAGCATTATGGGGAACAAGGTCTCAGACTTAATGCTAAGTTTTTTTGCATGAAGGCCAGTGCACAGCAGAATGAGGAAGAAGGAAGAGTGAGAAATCCCTCATTTCTGGCTTCATAGTCTTGAATAACTGGTCAATTCAGGTCACTGTGCCTTTACCAATCAACTATAAGTTACTGGGCACATTTGGCATAATAAATATCATCTAAGAAATCAAAAGATTGTTAGCTCTAATAAGAAAATTTCAACATCTTTGAAGATAGCTAGCAGCTAGCTACACCTTGAAAGTGTTTAGAGGAAATCATATGCTACTTGTTGATAAGCTGTTATGAATAAACTATACACAGAATTAAGAAGAGTGGGCTTTGCCTCTCAGGAATGGGATAAGACCCTGTAAGAGGAAATTTGTAAAGATGCATCAGCTTTCCAGAAGTTCTTATATTGTATTAACCATTTTAGGTTAGACTCTCTCCCAAATAGTTTTCAAGAAGTGTAGAAATGTCATTTTTTTAGACTCCTCTATTAATCAGGGTACCTGTACTTTACATGATCAAATGGCAGGGCTATACGTCATTGTGCAGTACCCTAATGGATCTGTTAAGCCTGCAACTCAGTCAGTGTGAAGCTGGCCAAGCATCTCATCTAATCTGTGTTCCACTTTAATTTTGTGACTTTAATAAACACTTTTAAAAATCAAAATGTTTTAAGTACCCTTAATCCTAGCATACAACAAGATGATGTATAAGAATCTGATTAAAGTTACCTGCTAAAGTTGTAACACACATTAAAACAACATACTGGTAATTAAGCAAAGATGGCCACAAATAGAACGGATAAAATAGGGTTGGGCAATGTGTGATTGGAGAACATCTAAAATAACCAGATGAAAAAGTGAGAACAAGATAATTTACTTGTAAGCAAGCAAGCTTGAAATCAGAAGCTTACTGCAGGGATGGACAACTTGTGTTCCTCCTATTGGTGTAGCCAATGGTGACAGACCTTGGAAGTTGTGAGACATAACACCTGGCTCACAACCAGTTGCCCAACTATGAGATAAAACGTATCGACCAGTTAAAGTGCCTGGATGAACAAAAAGGTTCCGAGCTGGCACCAAAATAATCACACTCCCTCTCTAGAAAAAGAAGTTTTATACAGTGGCTGATGGCAGGGTGAGAAGGAAATCCATAATCAGGTCTCTTTCTCTGTGGATGCAACTCTGTTGGAAGAAGAGATCAACACCATTTTATAGCTCTTCAAAGTCCTCTGTTTATTGAATAATTTACAACATAAATGTGAGTTCATTAAGATGATACTGAAGTTCTAAAGTTTTAAAGTGTATTGCTTTTTTGTACATCTAATGCAATTCCAAGAAAAATTATATGAAAGTAAGTCCCACTGAAATAAACCTGGTTTGGGAGCAAGTATTAGATGTTAAAGTTAAGGATCTCTATGAAAAAAAGAATGTGATTTTCCAAGGCCATTTCAAATGTTCCTGCCTTAACATATATAAGTATCAAATGAACCATAACATGTGTGTTGATGTCCTACTTTACAAATAAAAAGTGTGTGTGTGTATAAAGACAGAAAACTGCAGTATGATCATGAATCAGTGCAAAAAATGATATATAAACTACAAAATTATATTAACACTCAAAGACTAATATGATCCCAGCATATTCACCAGTTACAGTACTATTTTACCAAAGTATGTGGCAGGCAGAAGCCACTGCATGGAACCTGGCCATCTTGCCAGTAATCTGAGAATCTTTCTCCAAAAGAAGACAACAAAATTAAATTGACCAGCCTGGGCCTTCTTGTGGAATATGTATAAGACACTGTGAATGTCTAAGTAAATACAATAGAATTTCCCAGTGAGTTCTGCTTCCCCTCCATCACAGGGACAAGAATGTTCATCATTTCAAGCCATCTGATATTGTTCCTCCAATAGTTTAGATGGGAAAACTTTAAATCTGGTCAATGTGAAGGATTCCCTAAATTAGGGATTGGTAAATTAGGCTGGCTAATTTGCAAGTGCAAGTACCTTACTCCCAAGGAAGGGACATTTTTACTTTTTAACAAAACTCAAATTGTTCTGTAATTCTGTCACATACTTGTTGTTTAATAGTTATTTTGGCTCTAGGATATCCAAATGCTATTAGGCAATCATTTGCAAATCCAAAGTCAATAAATTTTCTGCCAGAAGCCTTCTCCCTATTTGTCCGAGAAGCATCTGTTTGAGTCACTGGGACTAATCCTACCAGAGAGAAGACCAGTCTGAGTGAGAAATTGGTTAGACAAATCCAAGCATGGCCTGTCTCCATAGACAAGGTGGCATTAGAAACACAACACTTTAAGAACAGTTCTCAAAAAGCTGGCTTAAAGGCTTTCAAGAGGCCCACAGTTATCATAAATGCATAACTGAGACCCACAGATCGAGTGAGGTATAATCGTCCTACAAATCCCCGAACAACAGGGGAAATTCTTCCCTTAGGGAAGAATTTATTTATTTAATGTGTATAGCTGAGGCTCTCTGGGTGGCTAACAAAAGTTAAGAAAACACTCACACAAACATATACAAAACAAAATTAATGTAAAACAAGTAAACCACGATAGCAATTGAATCAGCATAGGAGCACAGCAGCAGTACAGAATAAAATGGAGTATTAAAAATGAAGTTAAAAAGTTAAACCATGGGTCCTCAAACCATGGCCTGCGGGCTGGATCCAGCCCGCCATGCCCATTTATCTGGCCCGTCATAGCTTGCCATGCGTGCGCACGTGACGAGGCGCCGGCTTGCTTGCAAGGAGATCGGTTTGGACTCACTCGGAGAAAATTATCTCTGTGCACATATGCCCCGGCCCACGGCCCGTGCCCATTGCTGGCACCTTTCAACTGACCCCCTATTCAAAAAGTTTGAGGACCCCTGAGTTAAACGGTTGAAATGCTGGGAGAATAAAAAGGTATTCACCTGGTGCTGAAAGCAATACAAAGTAGGCACCAGGCACATTTCTTCAGAGAGCACATTCCACAACCGAGAAGGCCCTCCTCCTGGTTGCCACTTGCCTCACTTCCTGCAAAAGGGGGGTCCCAGAGAAGGACCCCAGTAATGACCTCTGGCTCCAAGAAAGGAAATCCTACAGAGAACCTGGCCCCAAGCCATTTAGGGCTCTGAATGGCAGTACCAGCACTCTGATTTGGGACCAGACTTCAACAGGCAGCCAGTTCATGAGCCAGTCCCCATTAACAGTTCACTGCCCTGTCTGGGATCAGTTGAAGTTTCTGGACCTTTATTCAAAGGCAGCCCAACATACAGCACACTGCAGTAATTCAAACAAGAGGTTACCAGAACCTGGATAACTGGTTAGGCTCTCTCTGTTCAGGTAGAGACATCAAGAGCCTACCTAACAATGTTGAGAGATTCTTCTGTGCATTTCCCATGCCATTATTTTCTCAGATATCCAGGAACTGGAAGAGTGAAAAACGACTCCCAAACATCTAGGGCTTGTTACCTGTTCAATAGGATTTCCATTAATCTACTATCTATGATTAACTCTACTTCTAGTAAAGTCAGTAACTTTGGTCTTGTTATAGTTAATTGTTAGAAATCCATTATAAGAATCAGTGGAAAGTGTTAATAGTAATTTCAAGCCTCATCAAGGAGGATAACAGTATATCATAAGCATACAAAACTGACAGATCTCCCACTAAATAGATGCTTGGCAATGAGCTTCCTGAGAGGATGCCAAAATCTAGCAGACCAGTCTAAATGCACCATTAAGTATGCCCACACTTCCAAAGAGAACTGAATTATTAATCCTTGCTGTATTAACCTTTGCCTTATCTCCCTTTACCTGCTACTTTTTATCCTTAATTAAAATGTGGTCTCTCTTTTTGAACAAAAGCCATTCAACAGGAAGCAAAGACAGACTCTGATCCCTATAAGACTTAAAGCATTCTTTGCAACAAATCCTGAAGGAGCACTTACATCCATATACGTCCGCCCGCCCCTTGAGATCTGTGGGAGAGGCCC